AAAAAAAAAATCAAACAACTCCCCATTCACAAACTGCACTTAATGTCAAAATTCATTGGCTTTTGAAACTTTGTAGTGATAATGCAAAATACAGTTAACTCACTTTAACGGACAAAAACTGGTAAAGGGGGATTTTGTCCACAAATGAAACATGTGGTGTTGAACAGCAATCTGCTGCCAATATACTGGCCTAACACATGAAAGTGAATTTGAAATGCAGTGATGGACAGCTTTAGCTATTTTGTAAATGTCACAGTCTTGTGAATACAATTTTTAGAATTTATAGAATATTTCACAGGTTTGCGAAGCTTTGAGTGCTCCCACTGAAGAGATAGAACAGTTTTGTAAGAAACCAAACACATTAATCCAAGATGAAGGCATCACATTATACCCACTGTACAATGCTAACAAGACTGGTCTCTTCTGGCATTGGCTCCCAGGAAGCATACAAGCATGGATGTGAAATCAGCAAGGAAAGGACCTCAGCATTACTGCGTGCACTTGCTGACTGCTTACACAGATCGACACCTGTAGTTTTGGGTCATGGAGAATGAGGGTCCAACAAAGACATAATGAACAAGTCCCTTGCCATTCCAGAACAGCTCTGTTTACATCTGACAATCTTGTCTCTTAAGCGAGCGTGTGTTTTGAGGCTCGAAATATAATTTAATGGACATAACACAATACCAGACACTTCTCTTCCCTTAATAGTGAGGATATGCTGCAATTCTAACCTAAAAACAGTAGTTTTACATAAGTTCATTTTTAAATCTTTATGTTAAAAATACAAGCACTTCATTCTCAAACCAGGATTTTGTGGCTTCTGGGCAACACAAGCAATTATTCAAGGAGTATTCATTTAGGGCGAAGAAAAACACACCTAAGCCTCACTCTTCACAATTCTCAGATTCCAACATCTGTTTTTATATAACCTTTTTATTCTGTGTAAAGATTATTAATTTGGGCCTCAGGATAAAAAAAGGTTTTGTCAGCAAAAAGTCCCGGCTATCATAAAAAAAGTGTGCTAGTGTGCAGTAGTTGGAAAAATAACCAACAGGGAAGGCATAACCGTGAAAGTCCTTGTGAAGGACAGACTTCTCTGTTTCTGTACTGTAAATGAGCTCTGAAACAGCTTCCCAGAACAGGCCCGGCAAAATGAAATCTCTCCAATGTTAGCGCTTTGAATGACTTACTGTCTTGATGGAGCTCCGCGCTTTCTCTTTCCACTCACTGCTGCTCAGCTCCAAAGTACAGTGGACATACGTCTCTCGATCATACGACCCCAAGATGAACAGCCTTCAAGATGGAAAAAAAGAGACATCGTTACTGTCTGCCAGGGAAAGCAAGACTGTCCAGAGTGTGCTTCATTCAGACTATGAAAACAAACAGCTTCATTAGTATTGGATCAAATGCACATTCAATTACCAAATCGCTATCAAGATTACATGTATCTTGTCCCATACGAAAAGGTGAGAAAAGTCCAGAACTACTTTTCAACAGTTACAGGCATAGAAGGGAAAACAACAAATTAAAATATTACTATTATCAAAGCTACTGACACATTCAGACAAGACAACATATCATTCAAAACAGCTGGAAAAAACATAGTTCAGAAGTTTCATATCCTTGAGCATAGATGAGATTCCCAAACCTGAATAATGTTCGACAGCTGAAATGTTTCTTCTTTATACTTTTTAGCATTTATTCCAAAAGAATAAAATAACCAAAATACATTATAAAATAAAATGTTGTTCTGGAAGCAAAACAAGGACAATGCAAGAACTGCAGAACATGAGGTGATAGTTTGCAATAGTATTTCACATATTTATTTATTGCATTAACATAGAAAAAAATCTTGGTTATTATATCCAGTACTGCTAAGCAGGCATGAGAAAAAACGTTCTTGCCAGTTTGAATTTTGTATGGAAAAATAATAAATAATGTTATAATGACAATGCTATGTTATGAAAACTGGAAAAATGTTTTGTAAGCCCCATCATGTTTTCTAAAACCAGACTGCTCCTGAGAGACCCATTTCTAACAGTAGCACCAAAACAAACATTTCATATTTGCACAATTACAATAATAAGGAGCATGTACAAAAATATAACAGTTAAAAATAGACTGAAAACCCATATTAATGATCTGGATGATCTTGTACAATGTACATGAATACATATCGGTGTATAGTTGGCATGCACATTGGAACAAACCTCTACTAAAGGGATAAAAACCACTATAGATCTCGTCTGTTATGGAGTGGAATAATGACCACGAAGGAATTGTAGCTCAGAAGCTGTGGAGGTCAATAGCTGTCGTACTCTCGCTGAAGTGTTGAAAAGATTGACAATTTTGTGCAAGTGATGGTTTTTAAGAGTCCTATCCTCAAATGTAAGTGATATGATGAAAATGTATGAAGCCCCTCATGAGCTTTAGGTTGCTGTAGACATTTGTTTGAATAATGTCAGCTGTAAATGTACTTGTATAAGAGAGTTCAAGTATAAAATATGAAAGTGCATGCACAAGCAGTGTGAGGAGTACATCAATTATCTATTTTTTTTTCATGATCTTAAACATCCTGCACTCGTCATCCACTCCAGCCAGCTCCTTAACACTGCAAATGCCGAGAGTGAATTAGAACGATCGAGGGCAATGACGAGGCACAGTTGAGGGACTAGGAAGAGCAGGGTGGCAAAGCCTGATCTTATATACAGTATTTGAATTTGGGACAGAAATATGTAATCAAAGGAAAGCAAACATTAAGATGACCAAATTCGAAAACATTAAGTCATTTTCCACATTTTAAAAGACACACATGCACAAGTACTGTACTTCTTATAGTACATAAGATTTTGTAAAGAGCATAACTTGGCTGCCCTGGCTTGAATTCCTGATGATTACATGGAGTGTAACATTTTTAGGATCTTTTCTTTGTAGGCTTAATTTATGTTACATCTTGAAAAGCAAACTACAAAACGTACTCCTCGACATAAAAGAAGTGTTATTTGACATTCCTTTCTTAAACACTGCCCGCTGTAAATATTTCTCAGGCTACATATTAAAGATAATGTGCACAAAAAGACCAGCATGGAGCTTTTTCACAGCTTTAATGTGCCATTGCTACCCTCTGCTGGAAGATATATGGAAGTAACGATGAAGCTGTCTTTACTTGGGAACACAAACTAAAATACACAGAAATTCAAATGAAATTAATCAACTTGGATCAAAGGGCAAGTGCAATGCATTTCCTTGATGATTTTAACTTCATTTTCAAATTTTCACGTCGACATACATTTTATTAAACAATGCTTTTGACTAAACATTTGAGTACATATGAAGCTATGCAACAGAATTTGTCCTGTCCTTCATCTTCAATATGTGGCAGTGGAGCACACCCGGACATGCTGGCTTTTCTGGTTTCCCTTCCACTTGAGGTCCAGGATACATACAGGAGCTGCTAGCTAAAAGGCATCAATCAGGCAACTGAACCGTGAGATTTAACTATCTAAATCTGAAGTATTTATTCATTTCAATATGTACAACCAACTCTTTCGGTTTTATTTTTTTAGGCAGATGACGTTTCCCCTCTGTAGGAAATATCTAAAAGTTGTCTCCATGTCGTGTAAAGCAAAGCAGACTTGTATTTGTACTTCACAATCCATACTGTTATATTTTTGAAAGGTAAAGAGTGAAACATAAGAGTGTCACTTGCTTCTTTTGGATATGTAAATACCACTTTAATTGATACAGGTGGGTCAGGATGAAAAAGTCTGCCCTAACATCGTAACACAATCAAGTGAATTATATAAACCTGCTCCTCTAGTTTGTGCCCTCTCATCATATCTTTCCTGACGGTGTCAAAGACAGTAACATTATTTCCTCTAGAATGGAAAGAAACGGACAACTTGTGCTTCACAACCCCGAAAGTGCTGCACAACACGCAGGCCTTCAAAGCAATGTCTCCATCTAGTGGAGACAGCTATAAATGAAGTTAAAAGGTGGAACCGTGGGAAAATTGTGAACTTAAAATTGTTATAATTGACAAGCTCCTACTGATTATAATTTTATTTTCAGTATTTCTAATAAAATTCATTCCAATTAAGCATTTTCTGTATTATGCATAAATTCTCAGGTTGATCTTTTTGTAGTGTTACACACCTCCTGTAAATCACTTCTGAGGGAAGAGGGCAAGAGGGACAGAAGACCTCTCAGACAGGTGGACTTTCCACAGAGACCTTCAGTTTTGGGCCTCTGAGGTACAACATATTCATGGTAATGTTGGTATCGTGGCTAGATAAAAATGAGTACTCAGCTCTGCACAGCTTAAGTGGACAATTATTTAATGGGCTTCTACAGCTAGTTTATTTTGTGAGGACAATTCAGATCACAGTTCAGCTGGCATGCATGTACAGCTCATTTTGGTAAAAAGACAAAAGTGATGATTTCGGATCAGAGTGTGTACCTAGCACAAGAGCTTGGGTTCCTTGAAAGGTTAATCTCAGCTCAATGAAGAGGAGCACCAACACAGTTCAAAGTCACGTAGAGACGTGAACTACAGATTTTCATATATTTCACAAAGAAAACCAAACCAACTGGTTGACGCCCAATACCCTTAATACCTTTTGTTTTATTCCTGTCTAATTCTTTCTTAGCCCAGGCTGGGGAATAGGGCAAACAGCCCTGGCTAAACCCAGTGAATGGACAAACTGGTTTGATTTAAAAAAAATATATTTATCCTCACTCTTTGTGTCCTGTTGGTCAAACAATCTAAGATCCAACATACAATATTAAGGTCTAGATTACAAGTGTGGTTAGTTGACTTAATTAGGGATACTTACAGTAAAATGGAGAGAAACAGAAAACAATGTATCATTACAAAACTGTCATAGTAATACAAGGAAGACTGATAAACAGTCTTTACAGATAGAGGCATTGGAATATTGTTTTGAAACATTAGCTGTTTTCCTAAAGTTTTGAGTTGGTTTGTTTCCTGTCTTTGAAATTGGGGCCAATTTGTTGCAATGGGTGACTGGACTTCTTCATAAGGCACCATGCAGCTTGGTGGTCCTTGAGGTTCCATCACTGGTGCTCTTAAGGTTTGTCTATATGCTACCTTTAGAGAACATGAATAGAAAATACAAAACATTGCACTTGTCTTAAGGGATGTAAAGATATAGATAGGTGAATTTATAACATCACAACTTGATTTGAGAAAATGTATTGCTTGTTGGCCTTTCCTGTGCTAAAATGAGATGCCTTCCAACTTGTAAAATGCAGCTCCAATAAGTCTCAAGCTAGGGATTCTTTATAAGACTATAAAACTAACACATATAACACTAGTACACTGACTACCAGTGAGTTATTGAATTGATACAGTAGCTCTGAGATGGCTCTTTGGGAGAAGGCCTCTAGCCAGTATCCACCTAGATTCTGCAGTCTCATGTTTAAAATTACAGGTGTTTAAAAATGTTTAAAGAATTCAATATACAACTGGAAGTAAATTATACCTGAAATACCATGTGCAAGAAACTCTTGACAGGTCTTTCAGTCTTTAAAAGCATGCCAACAGATCAATTCTTTACTTTGCCCAATATTATTACTATAGTTTCCCTACAAATGCTGAATATTATAGCAATATGAAGTGATCACCTATCCCCTTTCTCAATTCTGATTAAGATATGAGTATCTGTTTGCATGATATGCACTGTACTGCACTAAGAAATAATAGACGAGTGCAATTTATTATTAATATATGGTACTTGCTGAATTTACTAAAGTATAGCCTTTGCCTTAGTGAAAACACAGTGATGCTAAACCCTCAACTTGTCATACAAAGGTAGCTAAGCAATGGCGATGTACAGCTGGGGTCTTTAAAATTTTATAAAACTGAGTGAAGGGCAGAAGAGATACTTAGGGAAAAGGATACTTTGCTCGGACAAAAGCCACAATGGCCCTTTTCATGAGCTCCTCCTAACCGTGACCTGCATTGTATCAATTAGATTAGGTTACTTGGGATTGTTTTGATAGGAACTGAATGGCTAAATTATGGCCTGTGGCTCCATGTAGGAATCAAGAGAAAGAAAAAGTCGATTGTTTGTTACTCAATTATGGCCTAAGATATGCTCCAATGGAGCGTTTTCCGACAACAAAAGCACAAGGCCTCAGTCTCGTTATTTTAAATGACATCCAACATTAATTCTATCGATTTCAGCCATTTCTGCTTGAAGAAAAGATGACAAGTTTCACAACAAAGAGGAATGTTCAGGTTCTGCAGATTTTTGAAGTTGATTAAAATAAACGCAAAACAAATTATTTGTTTAATCGGAGTTAAGCAAAGTCTGGTATCTGACACAGATCTGGCTAGTACTGTGCAAGTCTCTAACTACTAATCAATACAGTTGCAGCTTCCAGCCTTTTAATTTTATCTGGCTGTCTGAAGACCACAAGTAATAAGCCCGGTTTACTACAAAAGAAGGTTTTGCTGGGAGATATAACGGTTTAATGGACAGTAATTCATCAATTTAAAAACACAACAAAAAACAGCAGCCATTAGCGCCTCTGATTAAACTATTTCCCTGAAATTTTGTTTTTTATTGAATAGTAGTTTATTCAGATCTAATTTAAGATTAGATAGAAGTCATTTAGCAGTCCCTCAGTACAGAAGACAGCTCTAAGTTCAGGTTTTGAGTTTCGTGAACAATGAATGTACTTGTTTTAGTCAAAGCACTATGCAAGTTTCAATAATGCTGTAGACCACATCTGAGTAGTGGCCATCTATTCTTCAAGCACTTCATATTGGACAAATTAGGAAGCAAATCTTGCACAAAAGGAGAAGAACCTTCATCTGTTCAAATGCAGTCACTGACAAAAAATACTGTATATTTCTTTTATGTATCAAGCACTATCAGTGCTCTGCTAATGCAGCCTTCGTTAAATGGATCTGCTGCTGTGTTGAATGTTCTGCAGTTAATCGTATAACCCACACTTTTTGCAGCAAACAGCCACAGCAATGTCATGCAGCCAGTGAATGCTATCGTGTAAGAAAGCACAATGTGGGAATCTTTGGCAAGCACATGCCACATAAAAAGCTTATAGCACAAAACACGAACATGGACAGATATTCAGCACAACCTTACAAATTAACTCGGGGAGACAAGTGTTAATGTTTACTTGAATTATAAGGACTACTGTTTGTGCTATTCTAAACTGAACACCCACATAAAGTGCTTTCTGCTTTGAAACACTCTAGAAGAAACTAACCAAATTATTTCTACCCACATATTATTTGTAATAAACCACTGAAATAATTCTAATTCACTTCACATATAGTTTTGTAAGTTTGAAAGCTTTTTCATACATAGAAAAATTCTAACGGTTTTAGTCTGTTTTCACAGAGAAACCCCTTTCCGGTTCCCTTTTCTACACTACAGGGCCTAGTTGAGTGAACAAACCTGAATCTTTGTCAAATGAAAGCACTTGTCAATTGACCTACCTGCCGCATTCAACCAGCATGACTCTGAGTCTCCCCTCGACCAGCCGCGAGTCCTGAACAGAAATGTCCAGGTCAGAGGTCTGTCCCAGCAACGGCTGCACTTGAAAAGGGAAAAACGGTTTGTATCTGGGAAGAGAAGACCAAAATGATCAGTTAATGAGGCTGTCTCCCACCACAAAAAAAAAGATTTTTCTTTGCTGTTTTTTTAACTACACATATTGTTCAGTCTACAGAACCCCTCAACTTCTGTGGGGGTATACAGTAAATGATGTGATCTGTGCTCCTTGTAGAGAGATGCACACAGGAAAATTGTAAAATTCCTAAGTGCTGAGACTTTAGCTTACTTAAGAAGCCTGGCATTGGGTCAAGTGGCTTTAAGAAAAGGAAAGCTTCAAATCATCCTGCTTTCAGAATGTATTATTCTACAGCAGTACAGGTATATTCACAGCTGAATGTATTAAAAAATGAAGGTAAGGGCTTCAAACTGATATTGTCCTCTGCTTGCTTCCTTTGTCTGTTAGAGATCATGGCAATTAATCCTGTCCAATATCTCTAATTCTTTAGGTCTTAAAGGATTAAATGCTTTAGTGTGACATAATATTAACAACACCAGGGAACTACAAAACTAAATAACTTACAGTCTTCAATTTTATTTAGGAGTGCATAGAACAATAATTTTTCCAGTTTTCATTATTAGGTTTTCAATTAGCATTTAAATTAGCAATCTTCTACAGTGACTACATCGCTGATCAAAACAACATGTTGGAATGTGGAAGAGCTACCATATTTACCTTAGAAATACATTTTCAGATGAAGAACGTATTAAAATACAAGAGCACATGAAATGCCATAAATTGCATTTCTTTAGCGCTGGTTTAACCCTTGGAAAAAAACAACTGGTAAAAACACTGATTTACTTGAGACCTGCAGTGGGTAAAGACAACTTTTGCTATGATCGATATAGACATATTTTACCTGTGTGGGTGTGGTTAGAGAACAGTTGCTTTAGGCAAATAAAATGAAAATGACATTTAAAAACACTTGAATATCTTCTTTAAACCCTAAATAAAGAATTAAATCCATTCATGTTGATAAGAAAAATGGTTAAAACAGATATTTACACATAAAGTTTAAATGCTTTATTCATAAAAAATCAGACCACTCTGAAATTTTACTGGTTGAAAAATATAACAGTAAATAACAATGTTGATTTTCAGTGTCTATTTTTAATCCTTAGACTTGCAAGCTAGACCCAGACATATTAATAATGCAAGCCTTTAAAAAGAGTGTCTAAGTGACAGAAGAATGGTGCTGAAAGCTTCATGGCTGGCCACTTCCTTCTCATGTGATTTCTAGCTATAAATGAACCACTGCACTACTGCCTTTCTGTGGCATTTTACTACAAATGTTAAATCAAGTGTCCTAATGTTATGGATACATCTCTTCAGATCACTGTCTGTAATTATTGTAAGAGAAAAAAGGAAACAATCATCCTAAATATTTACTTTAAGTGCAATCTAAAAACAATTTAGTATCCTTTCGTGTCTTTTCACCTCAGTTCAAGTGTAGCTCTGGTCATTGGGAAAGAAAGGTTCCTGTTTTTTTTTTCCCTTACAGGACATTGGTCTGTATCACAAGAGCACAAGTAAGCTGTGAACACACTGGACAGAAAGAGGAAGAGCTTGAAAGACTAATAAAACGGTATCAAGTGGCCTTTCTACACTGGCTGGGCAATTCAGCCTACATAGCAAAAACCTTTAAAATATGTTTTATAAAAGTAGGCATCACAGTGAGGGTTTCACTAACATGATGTTTTACAAGAGAACACATAAATTAAGGAATTACACAAAAAAGACAGCAAGATTACACTTCATTAGAAAAAAATACACTGGACTGCATTTTCACTGTAGATGGGAAACTTCAATATTGCTCAACTGTTCTTGTGAGGATTAAGAAATTAAGACATCAGACCTCGGTACAGCAGGTTACACTACAGATCTCTCTCTCTTAAGCACTGCAGATCTGTCAGTGAAGGGATACCTAACACTAGCATTGCTAGGCTATCTTACATCTACATCCCAGGCACTTACGTGTCAGCATTAGTATTGCTGTAACCTGCCGAGTCCTTCAGTACAAACGAGGAGGAGCAGGCTTCTATAAATACAACAGAGATGCTGGTGTAAAGCTGTAAAGCTCTTAGAGGAAATTCCAGGCTGTGCTGCATTTTCTGAGCTCTTCCTGCATGACTTCACCCTGCATTAAATCACTGTCCAGAGAGTATGGACTATGGCTTAAGACTTTACAGACCACAAAAAACTTTACAAACAGTGCTAGAAAAAGGCATTTCAAGCACCCTATCTCATCCAATTCATGTCAGGATTTTTCCCCCCAACTGAAAGGCATGTTGGAGGCAACCTTCACAGTCACAAAAGGCCAGCTGATAAATTAAGTGTTTAGGCTCTAATAATAATCATCATCATCATTGCTATTATTAATTCCTTACCACTTATAACCCACTTATACAGTATAACACTTTCTGGACACTGCACTCAAAGCATTTTACAGATAATGTGGACTCCCCTCCACCACCAATGTGCAGCACCTGGCTGGATGATGCGACTGTTGCCAAAGTGCGCCAGAACGGCTATCAGCGGGGAGAAGAACAAAGTGATGACACCAATTCATAGATGGGGATTATTAGGGGGCAATTGGTAAAGGACAGGGGTAAATTTGGTCCGGATGCCATAGTAACATCCCTACTCTTTTTGAGAAACGTCCTGGGATTTTAAATGACCACAGAGAGTCAGGACCTCGGTTTTACATCTCATCCAAAGAATGGCATATTTTTACACTATACTGTCCCCATTACTATAATCAGGCATTAGCAGCCACACAGATCGCAGAATGAGTGCTCCTACTTGTCCCACTAACACCTCTTCCAGCAGCAACCTTAGCTATCCCAGGAGGTCTGTCAGGTATTGGTCAGCCTCACACCTGCGGAGCTACAGTAGGTTGCCAGTTGTGAGTTGCAGAGTGATATACCTGCTGGCTTAGGCTGTAAGGTAAGTACTTCTGCTTATACATGAAATTATCTTCTCCCTGTGTAAAACGTCTCAGAAAACTCTGGGATAGAAGCATCTTTACGTTTCCCCTGAGAATCGAATTCTTCGAGTTTGAATGGAAAATCCTGACTTGTGTCTGATTCACTGGGAATACATTAGCATTGCATAAATACTGAAATCAATCTTCTGGCAAGCAGTCATCTTTACAGCAATACGCAGGGTTAATTATTAATAGCAAAACACAATAACATTTTTTAAAGAATAAGGGAGCCTTATATTATTTTTCTGAAACACCCACATATTTAATGAATAGCTTTACCTTCAGGGTTCTACTCATTTACTTCTAAACTAGGCATATTTAAAAATTAGAAATAATCACATTAATAAACTCTTAAAAGAAATTTCTAATTTAATTATTTGAACCCAGAAAATGAAAAGCAACCTATTCGGTATGCATACCAACTCTCCTTACCCAAACAGAAGAAATGTTATTTGCCTAGAAAGCTTACTCAATGCGACATACATTTCATGGATGTACCTCAGCAAGCTGGGGTATGTGAAAAGACAGATTCCTAATACAAGAAATTGTTTATGGCCAATAAAGTAATAATAATAAGTAAAGAAACACATGATTTGTAAATTCCTGTACTAAATGTATTTAGTAATACCAAATCCAGTCAGAACATCTACCAGCTGATCTTAAAATCATTACAATGTTTTTTAAACAAACAGCAGGCATTATATTTCAGAAATAGGTGCATGATACCATAATTTAGCAATGACATCTGTTGGGTAAAAAGACACTGAAGGTGTAACTCAAAGAGCCAGTTGCTGTAAGCTTTGAAAAGCAATGTACCAGAAGAACCAGCATTAGAGCCTTATTAAACCAATTTTTAAAAATCTACAATGTACTTAATACTTAACGTACATACTTAATATTATCAATCTATATGAAATGATGCATAATAAACCAAAATATGTTTAATTTACAAAGCACTACTGTCACTAATTCCAGAACAAAATGTTTAAAAAGTTAACGGACCACCTATTCAGAAACAGAACTCCCGAGTCACTTCATGACCAAGCGAAATGATGGATGGAGCTACAGTACGTAGATGCATTTGACATGTACTTAAATATGAAATCTATCCTGAAGTGTTACTGAAATGGCTATGAAGAAACTAAAACTAAGTGTGTTTGATTAACTGTTGAATTAATGTCCAAGGAATGACAGGGATTTAATAAGTTTCTTATTGAGAAGTAGTTGAATACATTTCAGGTATTACTGGTTCTTAAATTTGCCCATACTAGTTTCTTGACAGTTTAAGGTTTTACTACATTTGCATAAGCAGCCTTTAAATCTAAGCATATTTTATATGTTTTTTTTTTCCTGAGCATTAGTGCAATTTGTATAAAAGCTTGATGTTGGCAAATCCCAAAACTGATATTTAGGTTGTCTTGGGTTGGATGAACACCAACAAAAATCCACAAAATGTAGCTTTACCAACAACTAGGGAGAGGAGATATGGAGGGCCACTTTGCATTGCACCGTTACAGTCATGACACCACAGATGGCCTTAGATTCGGTTTGAAGCTTGTGTGGTATTCTGCTGAAATTTAAAGGTTAGAAACTGAGTGCTGCCCCACTCAACTACGCTTCTCTTTGCTAACTCATATGGCATGTACTCATAATACCTAGTTTAGATGACTAATGTCCTTTAATTCCAGTGGAAGCAAATGAGTGAGACATCTCTTCCGCGCTAAGGATACAGTATCAGTGAGGGACTGGCTTCTCATAGGCTGCTAAACATCACTGAGGCAGATATTACAGGTCATGTCGTCTGGGTGCTAAAAGATGTGCTGTGGAACATTCTCAATGCCACTGCTGTGCGACAGATGCCCAGGGGCTTCACGTTTTATCTTAGTTGTCCATAACCAGATCCATGGCTTCCAAGTCATTTCAACAACAACTACGACAGAATTATAGCATAAGCTAGAGGCATGATGTTCTGCCATCTCAGCACTACTGGACCTCTTGGGGTCTGAAACCATCTGCCTCTCCCA